CGTAAGCAACACGTCAATCTTTCCTTCCGTTGCAGCAGTAGCAAGCTGGTCGTCAATGCACATGCAGAATGCGTTTAATAGACAACCGCGTCCCCGTGACATTGGCACTCGTAAACCAACGTGCATCCTTACGTGAAATAATCGTGACTACGTGAATAATGTTTAACTAAAAATGATTCGAATGGAGTAGCGTTGGTACTAATTTTCATCGCGAAACTCCCATCGATCGATTAATATCATTCTTACAACAATATAATGGAGAAAATGTTAATTCGTATTAGTCTAGATACAAATTCTCGACTGTCCCTCACTCGATGATAATCGCCGGCTCGGATTCGTGACCAAGAAACGAGGTATTACTGTATTATCGACTGCAACGACACTGCATGTGGACCAGTCTCGCCAAGTGCACACCTACGATTACGCGATAATACGCGCCAGAGGCACACGCGCGAGTTACGTGCCGGTAGAGTTAAACGCAACAGAGGAAGCAACAGCTGACATGACGACGACGCGAACGAGGACAGTTTCTGCTTGCCGGTGGTGGGAAGAAACGTAACGAGATACACGAGGTGCATTCGAGCGGTTTGTTAAGTGATAACCCTTGTTCAGTATCCACCAAATGTTTTTCTTAACAAAATCGTCGGTTGGCTGCAGGCTCTTACTCAATGCACCAGACGTCTGTTATTTTCTCAGATAGTTGCTTACTACTAAATAGGTTGTAGATAGGCGCTTGACATTCGTTAATAGTAGATTGATTATTCAGAAATGTAATGGTCAGTTGTTTGCTTATTTGGATTTGTTTTAGAAGCATTTGTAGTTGTTAACAACTGTATGCACTTTTCCATTCTCCATATAATGGTTAGTTTCTATAATTTCTGGAGCTGGACAGGCATGTATATGTAAATACAACGTAGCTAATGTGTAAAGTGCTAATGTAAAGAAGGAACAAATGTAAAACTGGTACACTGGGTGTTACAGTCACATTATACGACTTCGCATCCTTATAAATAAAACTCACCCTGGAGCTAGATAGAATTGAAGAAAAATAATTTTCAAATAAAAAAAAAAAAAGGTGGACCTTCCGATCGAGCGAATCTGTGTGAATTCTTAAAGTACAGGCGCCCTAAAAGGCTCCATCCAAACCGTTCCTGAACTGTTGACACTCGACGCTCAAGGGCAATACCGTTTACGCTCCCTACAGTTTTTATGAGCTCGCTATATTTCTCCCAGCAAGTACGTGTACATACTTTCCACGCCGCGACGCGAGGGAAAGAGAGAAAGCGTACGATCCACGTGTATGCGTGAGAGGTTCTCGCGTTACAGCGGAACCCGGTCGTACATAGCGTAAAGTACGATGTAAACACACGTGGATGGGCGAGAGAAGTGGAGAGAGAGAGAGAGACCCCACCGACATAGAAATTGTCGGAGTGTGCGTCGATGCATTGTGACTCTTCTACTACCGTCGGCACTCCCCCTGCACCGCTGTTGTACCTCCTCCTTTCCCTACCCAACCTCCTTCCATCCATCCCTTTCGACCACCGGTAGATCGTTGGTGCACTTTCCTCTCGCCCCTCGTCCTGCGCCCTTCTTGTCGTGCAACCAGCAATACGCTTTGTCCTCGTCGTTGCTTCCATTCTGCAGCTCTCAGTCGATTTCGGTCGGCCGCTGGCGAGCATAGCTCTCTCCCGACGTCCGACTCCGGTTCCCACATCACAGGATCCTACCTAATGATTGCTCGCGTTATGCCCTTATGGAAGTACGCAATAATATCAGCGGAATTCTGGGATTACAGCGATTCCCACTTGCAACGTTTTCTAATTGACGAATGTAGGCGAAAGAATTCCCAGCTTTTTGACGAAATAGAAGGCTTCGCAGGGTAAGAGTTTTACTTTTCAAGAGCTAAACTTTGTAGTAATAGAGTAATATTTAGTAACTTCAAAGCGGTGCCAATCGCGTATAGAAAACACAAATTTTCATATTTTCTATTGTATCTTTGCGAGTGTGGTATCAAACGATCGGGGAGGTTCTCCTGATTAAAACGAGTACCAACACGACCCCATTTCGACGTCTTTTAATTTCCACGTTTTTAAGTTTCTCAGGGGTTACGCGAATAACGCGTGATTCAAAGTCGTCCGAATGTGGTCGTGTTTGGGCTCATTTTCATCGGTGAAATCTCACCAATTCATTGGTGACGCTATCGCTAAGATCTAATAAAAATAAGACCAAAACTCTTATTCTCCGCTATCGTAAGACTTCCTCTTTCTACCTCTCTCCCTCTGGCAGAATTTCGCTCTGCAAGCTCAACTAGTGATTCCTTACTCCGAAATACTTGTTTCTCTCATTCCTTTACGATCCTATGTCGAATGAGGGTCAACGACGAAAAAAACCTTCAACCTTTCCAAGGACACCGATATTCCATTCTCGAAGAGAACTAACCATGCTCAAACTTGCACTTGAATTCCTTGGTGGCGGGTTCCTTTGTACACAGAGTCTCGAGGTGTGAGTGTGCACCGGCTAGCGCCAGTTAAGCTCAGGTACACAACAGGTATACGGGAGACCGTGTACGTGGTTGACTGTGAATGAAGTCTATTTGCGTACGACAATAACAGGTGACACTCGACGGCTGTTTACCTTCCCTATCGGCAAAAAGCCGGACGTGGAAAGCTGCGGGGGTGCGGGGAAACGGTCGTACGGATTGTTACCGGAGGGAGACGAGTGATGGGAGGAGGTGGGAGGCAGGAACCACGTGGACGGCGTATTTTAAAGAACGCACCGGAGTCGCGTACGCTCGACCAACATGTGCGCGCTATGATCGACTCTCGAACGGGTCGTTGTACCGTCACGAGGCACGTAACGTTGCACGTGGAACGTTTCGACGTAGATGACGCGTTACACGCGAAGTCATCATGCTAAATGCCCATTGTTGCGATAGTTTCGACCCGAACGCTTTCGCAACTGTAAAGTTCAAGTTGACTAGACTCCTTGCATGTGGTAGATGTTGTCATTCTTTTATCGTGTGGGTCAGGTGACATCAATTACATGGACTTTCCATAGGTTTACTTCTTTTAAAAAGTATCGGTCCAATCTTCTAATCTTGACTTCACTTGTGTCTCCATACGCAGACCAGTATCTCAGATGTTATTACGGTTCTTCAGCTGTAGATGGAATTCTTCTACAATCTTACTTTTTTTAATAAGTGACAGGAAACATCACCGAATCTACAGTCCAAAATAATTTTTCTGATCTCATTCTACTCTCCTAGAAATAGGCTATGAGTATCCCAACACTCCAACTTCCAAGTGTCAACCACTCGTTACTTCAAAAATAATCTTCTAATCTCCCCTTCGAACACTTATTCCTCCACGTGCAGGACCGCCGTCTCCTTATTAAACTTGTTGATCCGCACGTCGAGATCCGTGGCGAATCCGCGTCTGGTGGTTGACTGGCGCGCATCTCGTTCCCATAGAATGGCACACGCACACTCTGGCGAACGTCTCGTGAAACTTGCAGGTGAAACGACGTCGCCCCACGACACGCGCGTACACGTTTTCTTCGCTCGGTCTCTCTCACGAACACATCCGCGCGATTTACGAGTCCCTTGGTCAGCGTTCTCTCTTTCCTCTTTGTCTCTTTTGCTCTGACACCGGGTCGCGCGCGCACACAGACGTGCAGGGGATGTGCGAACGTCCCCCGAGCGAAGAAATGCTCGGACGGAGCTCCGAAGATCACGTGCTGCGCATAACTTACATTCCCACCACTCCTTTCGGTAGCACGTGCCTCCACGGGCCTCTCTCTCTCGCTACGTGTATACACGTATATAT